GGAAGGACCCCCTTGAGTTCATCTAGTCCAACCCCCCCGCAGCGAGCAGGGACACCCCTAACTGGATCAGGTTGCTCAGAGCCCTGTCCAACCTGGTCTTGAATGTTTCCAGGGATGGGGCCTCCACTACCTCTCTGGGCAACCCGTTCCAGTGTTTCACCACCCTCATTGTAAAGAATTTCTTCCTTATATCCAGCCTAAACCTACCCTGTTTTAGTTTAAAACCATTACCCTATTGCCAAAGTATCAGCCTCAACACCTGCCCTTCTTCTGACCACAACCTGCCTTCTCCCCCTCCCGTGAGAGCGGCTCTCCCCCACGGACCCCATGCCTTACACCGTGAACAAGCTCCTACCAACTCCTTCCACAGAACTGATGCCTCACGTTCAGCCAACAAGCTTCGCCGCGCTGATCACACTGTTAAGCAGCGCGTCCAGCCTAGTTTGAGCACTTCTGCAATGCCTTCCATTTGCAGGGTATAAAAGTTTTTCCTTACAGGGGGGTGAAAGCAAGCGTTCCCTGGGCTTCTCAGGCACTAGCCTGCTCTGTGAGACACAGACTGCTCAGCTCGAGTACCATCAGCAGTTCTGCAGCACGTACCAGGAGATGAGCACCCTGGGTAAGAACATGCCAGGCTAAACGACCCCAGCAAAACCAAGTACATTGCCAACACATTTTGGAGACAGGATCCAAGGAACTGGATCCAAGCAACTCGGCAGGGCACAGCCACCTGCCATTTTCGCAGGAGACGGAGCAGTCTGGGGATGGGAAGTCCTCCAGGCTGGAGTAGTTACAGTGACACCTTTTAGTTGTACCCTTTCCTCTTCCAAGTCTTTTTATAACACTGAACTCAACAATCTTTTCAAACAAACCACCAGGTCCTGGCACTCTGTCATCCAAGTTTGAATCAATCCAGAGAAGGATCTAGGAAACCAAAACCATGGAACCAAATGGATTCTCAAGCCTACAGCTTGAGTCTACGTTTGGCAAGACGTACCAGTTTTACTAACTCTTTTTGACAGGTGAGGAAGCTTGGAGCAAGGAGGTGAAGGGACCATTAGTCCGCTAAAAGGACCTTGGAACCTGGTCCAAGAAAACCCATATTCAGTGTGTCTGCATGCACGCATGAGTGTACCATCACCTTCAAAGCCAGCACCCACCTGCCTGCCTTGAGCTTAGCATCCTTAAAGCTGTTTCTGACCAGCAAAGGTGGATGCTAACCAGCTGACAGATGTCCGAACACACCTTTCTTCCCAACTGTTCCCCAGCCCAGACTCCTCACCCACCTCCTCACACCTGGAAAGCTGTATATAGAGTTCCCACTAGCAGCCAAAGGCCTCTGCACTCCTGTCTTTGCAGAAACAGCAGCCCTGCCCTGATAAATAAACCTGGGTCACCCCCACGGGGTTGCCCCCCTTTGCTTTGCCACACGTAACGGCTGGAGTCTGGAGTGGCTCATTATTCTCGCCCACAAAGCTGCTGCACCGGAGAGCTGACCTGATCCCCAGGGATCTCCCGATAGGAAGCTGAAATGGAGTTTTAACACCACGCCAAACAGTTCACGTTCCCCTGCATCATGCGTTATTACTTCTGCTCCTGGGAAGGGAGATGCCGTAAATCTACCTACAGTTTGCCTACGTATGTGAGCCAGCTTCCTCCATTGCCTTCTCCTCTGTCCGTGCCCACCTGAACCTTGTAAAATTTCTATACCTTCATAATAAAGGTGCACAGAGGCTGCTTTGATCTACCCTGTTGATGAAGACCATGGCAGCCAAGTACAAAACCCCAGGCTAACAGCAACAGGGAGAATGGCAGGGAGAAGTTAAAACATACCGTGCTTTACTGCTCTACAATACGCGGCCACGGCTTCTCCTGGCGTACCTAAACGCGCCCGTGGTGCTTTGGCAAAACAGCCAGGAACAGTTTGCGCGTGACAGCTCCGACCAGGCCGTTTCTGAGTGGGAGCAGAGCGATACACGCTGACCCTCAGTGACACTCAGGTGGCTGCGGACCTCTGGGGAAAAATAATGATTACGTGAACTAACGTCAAGCAGCCTTACCAAGTCACGACTACGAGGCAGAGCCATAGCTTCCCGTTTCCCAGCAGGGCTGCCCAGCTCTGCCAACCCAGGATTATCACACCTGAGAGCCTGGCCAAGGAGGCAGGCCACACAGGGCCTTCTCACACCCTCCCTGCGGGAGCAGACGGCTGCAGAAAAAACAGGCAGTCTGGCCTGCCGTGCCTTGGCACGACAGTAGAAGGAAGCATGGGACGTGCCCAGCCAGGCCCACCATGGTGATGTTTCACATGGTTTGTCCCAAAGCTCCCTGGAGAACTGCTCTGCCCAGGCATTCAGAGCAGGTCCAAGGCAGGAGCAGCGTGGGAAAACAAAACCAGGGCTGACAGCATGCTACCAGCCTTGTTTTAGTCTGCAAACTCTTGGACGGAAACAAGAGGACAGAGTATGTATCACAGCGAAAAGACAGCTGCTTTGTTTCCTTCCCACCAACACAGCCACGGGCTGGTCTCGCTTACAGGCAAACAACTAGACCTTTGCAAGAGGGTGCAAACATCCTTGCTCCACACAACACGCGATGTTACTACTGCTCTTTGAAGGGAGGTGCTCAAAGGCCTTCCCAAACGTTAAGTACAACCCGTTTTCAGAATGAGCACCACTGTCACCATGCAGCAAGGGAAGCTGAGGCAGGCCGACTCCTGCAAACTCAGCCCAAGGTCCCACAGATCCTGCTCTCAACATCACAGGCAGGCTGTGCCCCCACGTGTTCCCTGCCCCCCCTCACCAGGATTCCCTCTCACTTATGCCAAGGCAACTATTTGTAGGGCTGCCTGGAGAACTGAATGAGAAGTAGTGGCCTTTTCCAACCATAACTCCTGGCCTTCAGCCTCTGTCCCCTGAGCTAGTAACTTCTCTCTCCCTCCCATAACCGGGGAGGAACGCTGGCCCTAACTCCAACCCTCTGCTTAAACTGCTAGGTAACACCCTCTTCCCAAACAATTTAACGCTTCCTGGCCTAGCCCAGCTCCACCAGCTACAACACCTGTCTGGCAGTGGCAAGTACCTCTGGATTTGACACCTACCCAATTCATTTTCGGTTTGCCCCTCCTACGTGCAGCACCTCCCCATAAGCATCCTCCACCCTTCCGTACGTGCCTTTGCAGCCCGGCCTCCGGCTGGCCTGGCACTCCTCCAGGCCACACATCGCTGGAGGAATTTTCCTGGTGACTGGCTGCACTGGAACTCGTCTCTCTCCGCATTCCTCACAGGTCTGCCTACAATCCACACGGACCGGGCTGGATTTTATTAGGCGGGTTAGCCAAAGTACACCCTGTAGGAGAAAGGTTTACCAGCTCTGCCGAGCCCCTACACGCTGCAAACCCGTTGGGTCAAAAAGAAGGAAAAACAGGATCTCCCAGGCTATAAATGGGGGGGAACAACTCTGAACCCAACACATACGTACACGCGCTACAGAACTCACGCTGCAGCCTGCTGCCTGCCCCCACCCCAAGACAAAAGTCCAGATACTAGAGGCTTTCACGGCTTGTCTGGTGATGCCCAAAGTCTGTGTCCCCGTGGCTGCCAGGCACTCTCCCACCTCGGCTATCCCTGTCAGAAACACAGGCAGCTTTTAATTTAATTTCATACTGAAGTTCTTGATTGCAGAGGGAATAGCTTATGGCATGCAGCAA